AGTCCTGTTGCTTGCCAAAGCAAAGAAAAAACGGAGTGAGACTGGAGCAGTGCCAAACCTAACCTTCATGGCACGCCCATTATCCCCAGTGAACAAGACTGTACGACGGTGATCAGATCGCTTACCTTTACTAACTTTTTGCCATGTTGACCAATTGCACGTAAACTGAACACCTGTCCAACTTTCGTACTGGGTTGGAATCGAATGGCAAGTGTAATTTCAGTATCCCGATCTAGAATACAATTGACGAAACTCAATCATTGGGGTACAGTGTGGTGGCGTGTGAAGTGATGGTGTAGGCACGACCCCCCCTCGATTGGCTTTTGTACGAAACTGGGCAGTGGTGCGACCTTTTAGTTGATCATAAAGATGGTCTGGCAGACACTGAGAGGCTAGAAAACACCTCATATCAATTGCCCTAAGCCCAGCTCATACAACTTTTGCAAAGCAGTCATTATGATCATTATTGTCTGGTATAATAATTTCACTTTTCTGGCAGAATTCGATGCATGGCGGAAACTGAGGAGTACTCTGCCTCTAATTACGTCATCCTCCTGTCTTAGTTCCATATACACAACCGTGAATTTTCAGCTCGTTGGCAGTCTTCAGAGTGGCTATCTCCAGATTGACCTATTCAACGGAACTGGCGACAGTATACTCAACAAACCGTTCAGTACGCATTTTCTCGGTATGTTGCAAGCTGCTCGTGTAGTGTACAGTAAGGTGAAGCACTCTTGTTAGTCCTGAGCATTTTCCTGAATAATTAAACTGAAGACATTAGCGGGATGTGCCTAAGCGGTACAAACCACAAGACCAATGGGCCTGCTCTGGTGACCCTACCTTCCTTCGTTACCGTGGACATCTCATTACAGCGATTTTTCCTGTCCCTTACATTCCGCTGGCAGGGCGCCGCTTGGTGCTTCCTTGGAAGAATCTCTCTGAAACCAGGGTCATGTTTCATTGGCGTAAACTACTGCTTTTTCCGTTCCAGCTAATCTATAGGATCTTAAACAGGCGATTGTAGGGTACTGTAGCAGGACATGTACTTCTGCATCGGTTGAACATAATGTCACTGGAGCTTTCAGATCAAAACGTGGAACACAGCCTGGCTGTGCGGATCAATACAACAGCCAAAACCCTATCATATCGATTAGAATCGTCATCAGACCATGTGTGTGAAATCACAGAAGACGTCGATTTATCAGAAGCCGAGATTGTTCCCACACTTGGAGGCGGAGGTAGGCAGAACGCCTTAGCCAGTTAATGGCCATTTCGCCGACAATCGATTTTTCCAGGTAACTCGATGATTGGCTGTGTAACATTGGTTACGGTACAGGTAGAGGGGGCTGTGGCGCCCCTTCATGCTATTCCGATTGCTTCAAATGAGATCGATGAGTGTTCTGATGCCAACGAGTGCGCTAGTAGAGATTGTAATAAGGCGAGTACATCTGTAATAAGGCATCTGAAAACAAACAAATTTTTTTATTAATGATATTCATTTCATGATTTTAGGGAAGATGTATCGAACTGGAAGTAGCTACATGTGACTGCTATGGCACGGAGAAATCTGGACCCAACTGCCGCTACCGTACGATTTATTTGCTGTTTATTTTTCTGCTGACTGAAACTAAATATTCAACAAGCACTGGTGCAAGGCAAAGGCTCATTCCATGCTCCTTGTATGAGAGGATTTGGGCTCACCATTGTTCCTTCTATTGGAACATCCCCTCTTAAGAGGTTTGACAGTGATTGGCCAGTTGAAAACTTCACCAAACAAAATGTCACTCGATCACGCAACCTCAATCCAAGCGTTCCTAGGAGTGTGACAAGAATTCGTTTTCGGGAAAAAACGCTCCAATAAGCAGCAACACGTCACCAGAACTCCTTTATCCTGCATGCTCATTTGACCCACAAGAGGGAAGCCTAGCCTTTTGCAGTTGCTTCAAAAACTGCTTGCCAAAGTTGGTGCTTATCATGGACCTTCTATTATTTTCTACTAGAATGAGTCAATTCTTTGGACTATTCATTGCTGTATTTTCGGCGATGTAGCATCAACGACGAAATGCGGACCAAGGCCCACCGCTTAGGTGGAAAAAGTCCTAACCCTTCCTGGGTGTTCACCTTCTCTACAAGACGGTGAAGACGAGCAGCGCGTCCTTGCAAACACCATTGAGCCTTAGCTGCGCCCTCAGCGTGGAATGCACTCTCAACCAATATTTCAGCCGCTCGAACCGTATTCGTCATGAATAATGACGACGAAAGTCAACCGAGCCACATACGATATACGCCATGGGAAGTTGATCAGATCATCAGTCGGATAACGATTGACTTCAGGGTATGTCGCTTAAGACTCCTTTTATGAGATTTTCCGAACAAATTTGTTTTGAAGTTCGCAGAACTCGACAATAAGCAAGGTGTTCTGCTTCACTCTGTGCTGGAGGATGCCTCAGTAGTGAAGCTGTTTGTCGTGGAAGGAAATGGAAACCTTCTATTTGGCAATCTCGGGCACATGAACTTCACCCTTGACTCGACTCAAGAGTAAGCATCTTTTTTAGCCCTTAACCTTAAATCGTACATGTATACTTGATACTATGACAATTTGGCGGGGCGCTGCTGAGAGGCGTGGCAAAAGCTCTATCCGTGACCGCATTTTCGACTAATCGTGGCGGAGTCACGTAGAAAAAAAATTCTCGCCTTCTGGTACCATCGTGCCGAACTGCCTCGATATATCAGCTATAAGCGCGATGAAAGTGTTCTCTCTCACTTTCAGCTTTTTGTTTGAAGATTTCAGTGTAGAAAAGCTTTCATTCTACCTTTCTGCACCTTGGAGTCTCATTTGAACTGCTGTCTGATTTCAAGGCATAGGTCACACGATCGTCCAGACCTCGAGCCATGATCTTTAGTCATACCATTCTGCGAAAGGGGGGGGGTCTGAATGATCGAAGCCCCCCCTTTTCGCGCCCCATGAGCCCCACAAACCTGAATGAAATCAAGAGGCAGACATGAAAAGTACACTTTGCCCAGTCAAGCAGCTGCAGGAGTGGCCAAAGACGGTCTCCGAACGTCTGAAGGAGAGAGTGCGTCAATCAAAGCATTCTACTCTAACCAAAAATAAATTCTTGTTTCAGGTTCCATTCGATCTTCATTGGGATCCATCACAGTTCTCGTACTATTGGATTGGCAGTGGATGGGCAGACGCAGGTTAAGGTTTAACCTTTAATACAAGATTCCAAAGTTTAGTCAGTTTGGTATATAGAAGCAGAACTTGTAAAAAAGTATTTAGTTGGGGAATGATGCTCCGGTGCTAGTAGTCTCACAGCTCACCTCCATTTGCTTGTTATTCGGCAGCATTGACAATCTGTATTGCGCGCTCGTAAAGGACTTAAAGTCACATTCCATGCTCGTGTCGAACCGGCTACTGGACCGTCTTCTTTGTCGCGATCCTTATTTCCAACCATGA